TTGACTTTTATTTCCAAGGGCGCAATTTACATAGCGCTTGTGCCCGTAACTCCGCTCCGCCAGCACGGGGTGGCGGGGATGGCAGGAGAGGCGAGACCCGTCGGCGCGACTGGCGGGGAAGGGCGACAGCGGGGGGAATGCGCGTTAGGGAGCCTATGGGCGAAAATTAAATAGGACTCACCAGGAGGGAACAAGACGCACTGTAATGATAAAAGTATCGTGAAGTTTAATGGTGAGATGAAGTGTGCTGGAAGTTCGTATCAAAGACCCGCATTAAAATTAATGTAGAGAAGGTGAATATAGTAAATTGAATGGTTCCAGATGAAATTCAGGTATACGTCAATGAAATCTCATATCCTTGGAATTGGAAACTGATTAAATAGCGACTGCTGGCAAGAGGTTAGCTGGACAGAACAAGTTATTTGAGCACTCATGGAAGAAAATGATAAAGAAATCAATGAAAACACATAAGAGATCAGTCAGTTTTAAAGTTATGGTGAATTTTGAGATTGGGTTAGAAAATTCTTCGTTTTTTTTCAGTCTCAAGAACATAAAATAAATTGCAATACGAATGCTTAGTTTGTATTGAATGATCACTGAAAACTCATCCACTGAATGTTCTTCCCCTTGAAAATCCACGAACCAGTATCGAAGCTGCAGATTAGGAATCTATAAACCGACAGACCCTAAAGAGGAATGGAAATATTCCCACCTTTAATTATCTCATAAAATGTCGTTAAATAGAATATAATTATTATAAAATAATCCATATTTGAGATTCGTGCCTTTCATTCTTGGTTTATTAAGTCCGTTCCACAACTTCAAGCGTATTTAATTACGTTCAAATTTTACATCCAAATATCACTATACTCCCGTTTCACTGAGAAAGCAAAAATGAATAAACTCTATCAAACCGTTCGTTGGATTCATCTTTCTTTAATGAAATGTTCATAATTCGTGTGATCCTTACGATCAGTGCAAATCAAACTAATAAAAACGTAAGTAACAAATATCATTCAAGCCGGTATGGTCAGTCCAGAGAAAAAATTTGATGTATGGATCCACGATTCTGTAGTTTTTCTGTGCTCCTTGTGCAATTTACCTGAGTGTGATTGTGTTAACATAAAATAAAATATAATTATTCCCTCGTTTATTTGGATTTTTATGTCATGATTAACTGAAGTATTTTCTTTTAATTCACTTTTTCTTCACAAAATGTTCATAGAAATTATGATTCACAATCAGAGAAAGGCAAATGTAGTGAAATGTTGCATAGTGAAGTAGAGCGAATGGTTATTAATGTTTATAATTTTTTAAAGGGAAGAATACATTTAAGACAGTACAATAGACTGAACAACAGTAACTGCAGTCAGAGTGCAATATCAGTTTTCCCTACTAGGCATCTCGCTGCTAGTGGTTTAACTGCCACTCCAAGTAAAAGAAGAAAAACGTGTACGTGTGAACAGTATGCAGGCAACATACGATGAAGGGAATTCCAAGTCGCAGAAAGTGCATTCATTTTGAAATTGTAACGTGGATCTTGACTTTAGGTTCTTCAATAATGATATCATTTACTGGACAAATATTCCGCTTTATATTTTGCCGAGGAACAAAATTTTCAGCCATAGTATACTTTGCAGAAGTCTAAAACATATTTTGTGATTATTCTGGAATTACAGGTTCATTCGCAATATATTACCAAGAGCTGCACTTAGCAATAATGCATGATTCGTAGAAGGCATTCCTGCAAATATAACCATATTTTAAAAAAGCTATATTATTTCTATTTCACCCCATATATTGATAACACTGCCGCAACCGTGTGGCTTGAAAGTCCGCATTCTAAAGCAGGTTGTAGTAATTAGTAGCATTTATGTTGTAGTTAGTTTACATTCCAAATAGGAAGTTACAAGTGGCCTATTGCAACAAAAATGCTGCTGAACATAACCTCAAAATTTGATATTCCAAAAGGTTGAGCGAATGCTGTAAAAAATAAAGTGCACTCGAATAACTCTGCAATAATTACATATTTAAAAAAATAATCTTTAGAAATATTGCAAGAGCATCGAGCAGATCCATAAAGCAACAGTACATGGAAAATATTTCATGGTGAGAGGAATCTTTCTTCGAGCATTCCTTTCGCGTGCCGTCAACAGAGTGGAGAGCAGTGAGGCATTTAGCGCGGCTGTATTCAGTCAGTACGCGGATTAAAAAATAACATATTTACATTTTACGTCAAAATCAAAACTTTTATTCCTTTTGATTTTTCGCAAATTCCTGGATAAATACGGAAATCAAAAGGTACCTCTAACATTATCGGAGGCTGCTTATTTTCCTTTCAATTTCTATGCGCATTCGTAATTAGTAATACATTATAAATTGAATTTACGACCTCAGAGAACAATTCAATTACAACACCAGGGAGTTAAGTTGTTTTATTTCATCAGGATTTCGTCGATGCTTAATGCTCCACCTCATCAGGTACCAGAATAAATATCAGCATTGTAAACAGATCCAGTATCAAACCTTCACAGGCAAAGAAACTGTATTGTAGCAATACATACCGAAACCAAGTTCAATAAATATAAAAAAAAATTGTTGAAATTTGAAATTCACAATGAGAAACAGGAATGTACAACAGCATGAGAAGCATTGTTAGATGCGCCTGGCCATACGGTTAAGGTAGCTTCAACATCTAAGCTCATTCGCGAGCGAGTGATAGTAATATAGTTACAATTGGTAATATATATATATATATATATATATATATATATATATATATATATAAAATTCATTGAGAAATACTGCAGTAGGTATGGTTGATGCACCGCTGAGGGTACAATGTCAAGAGGAGAGGCAAAGGGCAAAGACGGCTGGGTAAACTGGGAGCATAGCAGTTTCTTAAAGGTTGATCACAGTCTCCGTTAAGGCCGAATCCTGAACAAAGTGGGAGAGGAGAAGCGGGCGGCGGCGATTGGGCGGCGAGTGGCGGGCGGGTAGGAGGGTGAGGTGGGGTGGCGGGTAGGGGGGACGCACGAGAGCGTTGTGACTCCTGCGGAGAAGGATGGCTGACGCTAGAAGCGGGGCGTGGCAGGCGCGTGGAACAGGCTTGCGCGCAGACGACGCATGGCGCCGGTCCGAACCCCGCGGCGACTTTCACAGGCGCTTTCGTTAAGCCGTTTAGCCAAATTAGCGGGGGGCGGAAACCGTTTATCTACGACAGTATCACCAACGAGAAACGCTAATTGTGTTTTGCCGCGAAGCTTAGCAGCGAATATAATTTGTTCGTAATTCGCTCCGGTAATTGAAATGTAACGCCGGTATTTGTCGTGATCAGCTTTCACGGGTTGAGCGAGCGGAAGGAATGCGACGGTGTTGGACGTAGTGTTTGCATTTTTTGTAGTAGCTTCCTCGCGTTCGCTTTCTGTTAGTTCTCTTCCGAGTAGATGGGAATGCCAGTGGTGTAGTTTTCCTAAGCGCATTTCCAGAATTCAAATGAGCGGCGTCGGAAACAACGTTTTTCCATCCAATGGAGTTGTCTCGTTCTTTAAGAGCGGGTGCTTGGAAGTTATTTGTTTGGCTATTCAACAGTTTTCGATGAAGTTCGTTTACCTATCCAGTTGACCGAAAATCGCCATTAATTTCTGACGAAATCTGTCAATTTTCTGATTTCCATTTTCTAGGTCGAAATTGAATCTTAACAAACATACATTTATCTGGCTTGGAGACAAATTAGGTATTAGTGTAGTTGATAATATTTTCAACTCTGGTGAAATTGTTAGATTTGTTTGTTGAGAAAGAATGGCATAAATTCCATTATTCTTAGGAATATTCTTATACAAAATTTTCAAAGAACAGATAATATGGTAACTGATATTCGTATTAAGTGGAAGGACACTGAGTTATAAGAAGTCCATTTTTTAAACATTTTATGTATTTTTCAGTAATACATTTCGAATTAACAAACCGAAAACAGAAACGGAATCGTAATCAACTCCGTATCGTTGCTTGCTATTAAGTAATTGGCTTATGTATCAGGATTGGGGGATCCAACATGTCGCGTATATTAAAGAGAATTTTAACCAACAAAATTGGATCAATTCTTAATGTGTTTGCTCCTAAAATCTAACGGACCCAAAGCGCATTTCGCTCTGACATCCCTATTACCGACATTTCTGCAATAACGTACAAAGGTGTAAATAATAGAGTAACTGACATACAGTGAAAAAACACCTGGAAAATATTCCTTTACAGACGCAGGAGTTAATTCCAAAGCCGTCTGCCGTAGGGCGAGCACCGTGGAAAGCACGTAGCCGCTCACAGCATCCCAGGCCAAATGGAGGACTTTGGGCCTCTCCTCGAGGGAAGATAACGGCCGGCGTCCACTCATTGCCTATTACCTTCCCTGATTGGGTTGCAGGCCCTGGCGGCGGTGGCGGCGGCGGCGCGGGCTGGCCTGACGCCGCCGGCGAGCGTCGGCGACGGGGCCAAGATTTATGGGAGGGGGGCGCACCTCGGAGCTCCTTCTGCTTGTCCCCCATGCGCGAGTGCGAATAAATCTGGACGGCCCGGGAGGTGGGGGAGGCGGGAGAGGGGATGGGAGCGCCTCGCACGAGGATCCTATGCATTAGAAGTGGAAAGAGGTGATTCTCATCATTCGGAAATCTGGACCGCGTGAGCGCTCTTAAACCTTCTCTGGAGACCTGGCGTCCTAATTATTCTGCTAAAAACAGGAATAAGTTGATATGTGATTTTATTTATTTATTACAATTCCTGATACCCGAGTCGCTGTCACCAATGATGGTCAATTAATAGTGAAATGCCATTGATGGTTACGGGATAAATTCAGACTCAAGGAGCAATGATGAAAAAAAGTGGCAAAAACGGGACACATTAAGAAAACCCTTTAGATCCCGCCTTATGGAACATGCATTTAGAATGAAAATATCCGGGATTGTCCATTCACTCTAAATATGTATTGCGGCATTCAAAATACTCACACTCAAATCAGTTCTTCCTTTATTTTATGTTATTATCTGCCATCCTTTTGAATTCCTCGTAGATCTCTGAAACATAAAAAATATTACTTAGAATAAAACAATATATCAATAATTATAAAAAATATAATAGATATAATAATAATCCAAAATATGTAAGAAGATAAGTCATTCTGGGTGTTAACTTCTGACACCATTGTGATGAGTGGTGTTTTCTGAAACTCAAGTTATTAAAAATATATTTTTGTTCTTGTTCATGCTTCCTTTGTTATTGTTATTTAATTATCGACAAACTTAAAACTATAATATGAAGTGAACTGATTATTTATTTACCTTGAGATTAGACCTATTACGTCTGAGATTAGAGAGCGAAACAGTTATGACGGTTTCTCCGAATAAATACATTAATTTATTTTCCTCCTTTTTTGTAAAGCAGAAACGTTACCGAATCTGTACGGTTTAAAAAATGTTATCTTAAAATTACAGACTAGAAAGTATTAATTTGTGCCCATTAAGAATTATATGAAAACGTGAATGCCCAACAATTGTTATCTTTTCTCGAATAAACTTTTATTGTTTCAAGGAACGCGTGAGACAAGGTCACGGAAGCAATGTTCTACTGAATACTGGTAAAAGGAAAATGACTCTCTTACGTTTTAACTACGAACTTCAAAACGACTATTAATTGAAAAACCACGACATAAATACTAAGCAACTTCTTTCCTGAAAGCGTTATTATTGTAAAATGGTACTTTCAAATTATAGAAGAGTTTATTAGTTCAATTTGCCCAACGGAAAGGAAATATTGTCATCAGTAATGTTTAGTTCAGTCTAACGTGTATACACCTACTCTTACGTAGACTTATGTTCATATTAACAAATTCTGTAAGAAGAGAAATAAAACCGATTATCTCTTGACCCAAATTTACTGCATGTGAATGTGAGCATCAGTCTCTAAGCCAAATTTTAAAACTCGTTTTTCTTCTTGTGCTAATAATCCCTTTGCAACTACAGTACATGGTGGTGTCTGTGACAGAAAGGTCCTAAGGGTTGAATCCCAAATGTGGCGGATTTTTGGCTCTAACTCTACAGCTACGTCGATTTCAGCCGCTGGCTGGAGGAGAATTCTAACGGCAGGCTGCTCTGATAAGATTTTTTTATCCGATCAATATCATGCAAATTCCACACCACGATCGCGCAATCTTACCTATCTTCGATATCCTTGTCTCCTTTCCCCTTTAACACACACACACACGAAAAGCTAACATACTTTACAAGCTACGACACGTTACGGCACATGAAAGGGGACCAGTCGGGAGCTTAGAGATTATCTCAGGTGGGGCGGGTCTCGGCGGGCGATATATCTGGAGGGGGAAAATCCTGCAAGTCAACGTGTAGGTCCACACCTGATTTCCCTTTCCGGCGGGAAGGATCACCGCAGCCTCCCGGAATAAAACATGCACTGCACTTACGTAGTACTGGTGAACGCGCAGAAAAAATCATTCATTTAACATTAATGACCATAACCAAATGCATGACTATGGTGACCGGCAATTGAGGATTTCTAGCAGTTAATGGCGTCACCCGGAGAACATCGATACACAAAACGGAAATATATTTCCTTTGAATCCCACGCTGGGAGAGAGAAGACACGCACGCGTGTTTTTCCGTGAAGCGACGGCTCCTGGGCCGGTCACAAGCCGTCACCAAATTCCGTGAGGAGCGCGACTGTGCTAGGCACCTGCCGGCACGGGCCGAGGCGGCACGGCGGCGGCGTGGGCGTGGGCGGGTGCGGGGGCGGAGGCGAGGGCAGGGGTGCGTCCGGAGACGAGCTCCGCGCAGTCCCCAGCAGGCCGTCGCAGCCGCCACCGCCGCCTCCTCCCGCGTTCGCGCCGATCCCTTTCGAGGAACGCAGGCGCGCGCGCCATCGCCAGCAACGGCTTCCTCCCGGAAGACCACGCCTCGCCGCGGGCGCTCTCGCTTTCGGTCAGAGTTGAACGCTTTCCGCCACCGTACCAACGTACTCTCAAACACTGGCTGACTGATTGACTGCGTGTCAACCGCTATGGTCATAAGTACCGTAAGTGTAGTGCATGTTTATGCCACGGGAGGTGGTGTTCTTCCGCCGGTGGATGGAGAGATCCGGCGTGGACCTACTCGTCGACTTGCAGGCTTTTCCTCGTCAAGGTATCTCTTTCAGCAGGGCTGCCCCGGCCGGGACTAGCTCCCGATTGGTCTTCCGACATGTCTGGTAGCATAGTGCATGCACGTGTAAGGGTGTGTAAGAAAAGGGTAAGGTTAGGGCAATAAAAAGGAAGGAAAAATCGCGCAGGGTCCGTGGCCCGTTCGATGTGGTACTGCTCCGTCATTCGACTGGTGTTGGTCGTAGAGAACGGAAAACTCAGAGCAGCCGACCGATAGTATTCTCCTTCAGACTGCGACTGAATTCGACCTATCTAGCTTGTATCAAATATTTTGCCACGGACGGGACTGGAACACAAAGATTTCCTGCTCAGCAGCTCTCCAGTGACATCAGTTGATGCCCTGAGCCACCTCAGCCGGTCTGAATCACTAGTCGTGTCTTTCGACCCTCTGATCTCCGGGTAGTAACGGGTAAATATGATTGAGGCTGTTATTGTACTGGTTCATAGTCGTGAACTAGGAATTATAAACAAAGTTGTTTGTGTTTAGCGGCCTATGTGTTACCAAACTTGAAGTTACCTACATCAGAGCGCATGGCGGAGGCTGACATGGAAGGAAAGTTCCAGAGCTCGGACATTAAAAACAGTATACTCTAGAGTGTTATTTTTGTTATTTTACAGTTTACAGCTTTCTAGTTACTTTTTGTTTACTTTCTTTGTTTATGAGAGTTATGTATTTGTTGAGCTTAAGAGAACAAAATCATATTTACTGATTCTCGGCTCATTGGTTTACGACCCCTTATTGTCTTGGGCAGTTTTTCCAGCTGCTATTTTGAGAAACTCTTTTATTAGCAAACTTCTAGATCATGGGTCACTTTCTTCGATTTTTCATAAATCATATGTTGGCGATGAACTGAATGTCAATTAGGAGCCTTGGTATTGCGGTAGTAGTCCTTGTGCTACGAGATCTCAGCGACTGCGACTGCAATTTCTCAACTTTCTTGCCCCGATAGATTTATGGAGACCGCATTGCATCACGTAAAAGCAGTTTCTCCTATTTCTTTATGAACCGTCATTTGTTTCACTTAGTAATCGACACTTGTTCGTTTAGGCTCAGAAATTGACACTTTGAAACATTTTGACAAATGAAATGGAATCATCCAATGAGAGTTGTTGCATATGCAGTTACGTTAATAATACATTTGTTGTAGTAGATCGTGCAGAAACATATTTGATAGTGCAGCACGTACCAGTACTTTTAATTTCATTTATTGTAACATAATTTTTTTCATTCAGATCAATCAAGAATTTTTTCTTGTGTTAGAATCCAACTTGCTAATGGATCGTACTGGACCCGTCGAACTACAAAGGCATTAAATAGACTTCCTCCTAAGTTTAAAGCTCATTCCTCTAAAGCACCTTTTTGCGCCTTCATTTGAAACCATTATTTTTCACTATGTATCAACCAGTTATCACAATTACACCGACAACAATTTGTTGTGCACCTCAACCCCCTTAATTGAGTTCATTCGTTAAAAAGTCATTATAGTTGTATAAGTAGTTAGCGTTAAATCTCTTTAGTAGAAGCACTTGCATCTTAAAGCGTTGGCTAATCGACGAGGCGTACACATGCGAGCAGCCTTGCCAGCGGTCGTTTGCGGCTAGTGTGTCGCGCTGCAGAGGCAACGCGACATTTCGAGTACACTCACACTGCGATAGAACGAACCTCCCTTGACGCATTTCCAAAGCAGCGGACAAAATTTACAGCTGTATTTTCAGCTCGTAAGTAGCGCAGGGTATTGCTATTGTATCGTAATGATGATTTTAATGTATTACAGATTTCTAGGTAGGCACGTCGTCTACATTAGCACTCTTTTAAAAATGAAAGAAAGCTCAATGCTGGAACTCCAACATTTAACATGTGCAATAAAGAAGGGGGGAGGGATTTTCCAAAAATGTAATAGAACATCCAAAAAGGACTCATTGTGTCGATTACGAACATGAAAAACATGATCTGCATCTTTATAAAACAATAAATCTTTATAAAACGCATAGTTCCGAGTGATGTATGAAAGTAAAATGTGTTGCTACAAAACTAGTGGCAAACCGTATGTGCGCCTGCTTTTTCTCTATTTCTTAACCTGGGAACTTCTTTTCAATACATTCTTGTCTCTCCTGGATGATCCACGACTCGGTCAGTTGTGCTGACGTTTCGGTCATACGGTCAGGCTATAGCTCTGAAGAAGGCCACAGCAAGTTGGCCGAAGCGTCAGCACAACTGACCGAGATGCGGCTCATTGCGGCCAAGAATGTATTGACGTATATCACTTCTTTTCATTTCACATTAAATCTGCTTGATCAAGGACGGGGAGGGGTACTTTGCTATATAACAGTAGCACACTTATGGGGTATTTTGTTGATGGTTTTTTATTAATTGTAAAAAGTCATCTTCCTTGTAGTATTATTCAGGGAAGATTTATATTTAAGTACAAGTATTTCACACTGACAGAATAATAAAGTTAGGTAGGCATTTATAATTTCGTATTTTGTAATGTAATTGTTGCCATTGACTACCCCTAGCGAACAACCTAAATCGGAACGCTATTAGTCTGTAGCATCGTTGAATGTCTGCTGTGAAGTGGCACAGCAAGCGCCGAAGACGAACGCACGTTATTGTACCAGTGTTGAAAGACGAACGTTGAAACGTTGCGGCGGCGATGGTGTAACGGTTAGCGTACTGGACTGTTGTACCCAAGTTGGCGGGTTCAAACCCGATCGAAGCCGTGGATTTTTAAGGGCGAAAAAATCCTTCGTACGCCTTCCTTTGGAGGGGAAGTAAAGTCGGCTGTCCCATGTTCATAGATTTACTTGCATGTAAAAAATCCTCAAGCCTAAATGACGCCTCTGATCTAAATTCAAATCGCCTGTTTCTCGCCCAGAAATACCTCCTTTCTCTCCTAGTTGGTGAAAGGAGCGTAGCGAAATTTGCGTGGTCAGGCGGAAGAACGGGCCTGATGGCCCCAGTCTCGCCACGTAAAATAAGGCAAATTCAATTCAATTCAAACGTTGGAATTGCGAGTAAGAGTCGCCGCCACCACATGCGAGGATTTTTTCTTTCCTTGAGGCAGAGTCGGTGTCCAGCAGTTAGAGTATGTCGGCAATGCAATGACATTTGGTGCACAGGGAGGAGAGATGATGTTTATGGCGGCTATTGATACAAATGGGAAGTACGAAGAAGTTTTGGAGGCATGTGATCGTGGTAGAGGTGGAAATTGCAATGCTGAACGTAACGGTGAAATTAATAGTAGAGGGAACGGGAATAGGTGTGGTCAATAAACGAGATTGTGAGTGATGACAGAAAAGGCGTCGGTTGCTGCGAAGGTGTTGATTAACGGTTATAGTTGTGGTGATGTGGTGTGTAGTTTGTGTGTGCCGCGTGAGCAGAGGTGTTAGTAGCAGTTGTGTAATGGCAAACACGGACCCGAACGTAGTGGATAGGATGGTAGTGGTGGTGTAGAGTTTGTGTATGTCGTGTAGGTGCTGTCTGTATGGTGAGTGGATGGTGTGGTGGTGATGTGAATTGGGAAGTGTGTCCGGCCGCGGTGCATCGACGGCGTTGATAAAGTTGATGAAGACGGAGAACTCCGTCCGTAAAGATTCTGAAGTTTATTAGGGATGAGACTAGCTTTGGAGCCGTTAGTGTTGGTGGATCTGCTTGCGACATCGGTGTACTTGCGATAAAACGACGTGAGAAGTATCAGTGATGCACGTGGCGATATGGACGATGGAAAGCCTGCAGATAGTAGTGATAAGTTGAAACATGTAATGGAACAGTTGGAGTAATGGCGATGTCACGGTTTGAGGTGGAATTTGTGGGTAGTGGTGATGGTAGAAGAGAACGTTGTTGAACACGTGCCGTGAAACTGTGTCAAACCGCAAATGCATTACCTCACTGCCCGACCGGGGCGTGTCGGAGTAGGCGAAAAGAAGTGCAACCTGATGGTGCCGACCAGTTTGGTACTGTTATTCTATTTATAGGTCCCGTCTTAAACGAGTTTGTTCTTCCCACAGGAGAATCGAGGAGGGCCATTAGCTACGTAAAATTCAGGATACACTTTCTGGGCTCCACGACGAAAAAAAGTAATGGATTTTTATCATTTAAGTTGTGGAATTAACGTGACTGTTACATATTCATGCGAGTGAAGATGTCGCTAATAAGAATTATTTATCCTCCGCCGGAACTCCACCACTTAAACCGGGAGAGGTGGCTCAGGGCATCAACTGATGTCACTGCAATCCCTCTGACCGGGAGGTTCTAGGTTTGAGTCCCGACGGGGCAGGACTTTCGGCACTAGCTAGATAACAAGGTCGAATTCAAATGCTGTCTGAAGGAAAATTCTAGCTGCCGGCTGCTCTGATCGGTAGTTTTCCGTGGTTTCTCCGATCTACACCAGGCGAATGCCGGAGCTGTACCCTAACAAAAGAACCATGGACCGCGTGCGATCTCACCATCCTCTTCCTTGTCCTATCCTCACCCCTTACACTGACACTAACACGAACTACACTACCACACATGAGAGAAACCCACTACCAGCTTGCCCCGGCTGGGGCGGTGCCCCGTAGGTGAGAGATACCTAATTGGGGAAAACCTCGCTTGCTGTCGGTAGGTCGGTGTCGGATCTAGCCGTACAGCGGGGGGAGGAGATCACCGCCACCTCCCGAACAAAAAACATACATTACACTTAAGGGACTAATGACTCTGGTAGTTGACGTGCCCGGAATCACTA